TTGCTGCAAAGTGTGGAGAAGATACCATAAGGTCACAGCACGTGTTGCACACGATGTCAAACGATGAAACTTTGCCGTTTGTGATCGAAATGTTTTTTCCCCATCTTTCGAAACAGGCCGTCGTTAGATTCGGATACACAGCAAAGCGGGTAACGGGTGTACGAGTGTACATATCCGTGAAGAATTGATGAGGTGTCTATGAGCCCCTCCACAAATTTCCATATTCACGCGCCTTTAAACTCCCTTAATATTCCGTGCTTCTTTTTGATGCTCCTTACGCGATGTAAATATTTTAGATCTGTTTCATAATATCAATACAGTGCTTTGCCATTCCCCCATCTTCACTACCCAAAAAGACAACAATAAAGAAGCAAAAAAAAAAAGCAAAAAATCATGAAACTAAAAATCCGTTAGAGAAAAGGACAACCTATTTTAAAGCTGGAAAAAACCTGTAAGGCTGAAACATGCCTCCGACTGCGCAACTATAGCCATATTCCTGATTAGCTGCCATTTTGACCATCTGATCCACACATCAGTTGCCTTTACAAGACTCGGTACTTGGGATATATATACTACTCAGCTTTTGATATAGATAATCAGATATGTCAGACATATTTAAGTATACACATGTCATATTCTGAGAATTAATTTTGTATCATGGAAAGATAAATATAACAATATCCCTATCAAACGTAAAGTAGCATATTCTCTCCAGGGATGGCCTGCACTGTTTCCTATGCACTATACAATAAGGGCGAGAGCTGATGAAAACAAACTGGTTCTACTTTTGAGTCAAATGTCCACTTATAGCCTGGGGCTATTCTCTCATCATTGTGTTTTGAGAACCTAATAATGTTTTTAAAAGATAGTTGATAGCCACGGAGCTCATTCCGGTCTCGAATAATGATATAACTCATTTTGTTAGGTTATTTATATATTTATACATCATCTGAATGAGATTCTTATCATCACTGTCAACCGTTATTGTCACGATCCAGAAATTTTATTTTCATTTCGTGCTGAAAACATGATCAGCCCGAATCCACAATGACACATGATAGGACTAGCTTACATTGCCGTCAGCATTCATGCTGAATATGGGGAGATGTATACAGCTGCGAGAACATCAAGCACCATCCACTAACAGGAAGGTATGGCCAATATGTGAAAAAAATCCATGCCTTTGTTTAAGAAAAAACGACGAGTTGGAGTTGTTTATCGTGCAATAAAACACTACAGAGAGAATAAACCATGAGGCACGAAGCGTGAAATACACCACGCTTTGTTCTTCATTGTTCTTTGCGACTTATCGCGTAGCTCTCTTATATAATCATTTAGACGTTGAAAGAACATGAAGTCAAGACAACGTTGTGGCTAAAGGCTACTTCTTGTCCCTTCGTCAGGTGAATATCGAGTAAGCCTAAGCAAGTTAATGCATGGCCATGATGATATGTTTACACAGGTTAATCCCCGTTACAATGTTATCTTTGTACATTGATAGTGTTGATGATATAAGCGACAAAAACCCTTGCCATAATCATACAAATATATCGGGTAAAAGTTGTGTCTTTGGTCCGATTCCGACTATATCAAAAACATGTGTTATTGCTTCACTATCCAATAGTGATGATACCATGTATTTGCGTAATGATGAACGTATCCAGTCCAATCGGTGTCACCTGTCAGAAACACATGCAAAGGCAAGTCAATGTTCACCTGCAAAAAATATTTGCAAGACTCAGTTAATTTGTTTTGATACGTTACCTCACCAGTATATGTTTTCATCTGCTTCACTATCCAATAGTGATGATACCATGTGATCGCGTAATGATGAACGTTTCCAGCCCCACCGGTGTCACCTGTCAGAAACACATGCAAAGGCAAGTCAATGTTCACCTGCAAAACACATTTACAAGCATAAGGTAAATATTTCATCTTTGTCACAGTCACAGCTTATGTTTCCTCAAGAGGTTAAAAAGGTCCCCTCATGGCATTACCAGGGCACTGAATACTGTGTGTAGCAACTTGGCATTAATTTTTTTGTAACTGTATAATTTGTCATTCCCAGAAGACAAAAAAAGAGAGATCGACATCAGTGCTAATATGAGAAGATGAACTCCGTTAACTGTATCATTAATGAACCAAGTCACACACAAAAAACTATTTTTAACCGACTGTTCCTTAAAAACATCTTCATCCGAAGGTTATTTTCCACATTGCACAGTTTGATTTAACCCGTCGTGGGTACCAACAATGCTGTTCCTGATATATTTTCTTTACAAATGCCACAAAAAGATATTACATCTTTATATCACTGTTTTCATTAGGTATAGTGGCTAGGAAATCGAAATAAAAAAATAAAATTAAAATGTTACATTGACCAGAAACAAGATATTCTAATGTGTCCTTACCTGCGTGGAACATGCATTTATCTTGCAGTTATAGCACGGCTGTACCTGCTGACCGTAATTATAACGAACTGATCTTTCTATGCAATCATTACACAACTACCCCGAACCCTGAGCAGCTTAACTTCGCTCAGATTTTAAACGTGAACGAGAAGTGAGTGATAATTAGTTTTATCACCTGTCTCATCTCGGCCTCTGGGATTACAGTGAGTGAGTTTGGGTTAACGCCGCTTTTAGCAATGTTCCAGCAATAACACGGCGGGGGGACACCAGAAATGGGCTTCACACATTGTACCCATGTCGGGAATCGAACCCGGGTCTTCGGCGTGACGAGCGAACGCTTTAACCACTAGGCTACCCGACCGCCCCACTGAGATTACAAACAACGTTTTAAGATTATCTGGATTCTGGCCACACACGATAAGTTGACCAAGACTGTGTCGACTGATATATCACACTCTGATACATGTGCTGCTCTAAATAGGATGACTCATGGTTAGCTAACGTAATGTAAAGGAAGCCATCGACCTATAACCAAAGGCTAGAAGAGCTAAAGTAACAGGTGACTTAAACACGTCATGAAATTCCCTTTCTGCACACGATATAGTTTTGGTTTTAACTACCAATTTTGACCAACAAAATGTGTAAACAAAAATAGTGACGGTAAAATCTAACACCTCGTTGTGGGATAAGCAGCTCTTAAAACGAGCTCGATCGTTACCATTAATAGACTCAACTCAATTTTGAAAGGGATATTTTAATATTCTATGGCTTGACAAACTGATGACGTATTCGAATGAGAATGAACTGTAGAAAAAACCCTACAACTATCGAAAGTATATTATGCCATCACATAACACTTAAATATCGCAGGGCTGGTTGGAATATGAATATTTAGGTATAACCACTGTTTTATAATGTCATTAATCGTTGTAGCAAGTGTCCTCCTAGGTCACGTCATTGTCTCCAAATGACGCAAGTCTCGATTCTTGGTATTTTTTATATATTGAGTTTGTTCAGGTATGAGTGAATGAGTGAGTGAGTGAGTTGGGCTCAACAGTATTTCAGTTACATCATTGCTCTTCAGCTTACTGTGACTGGCCTAGTGTGACCCTACCAACCGTAAAAGCAGCCAAAAGGATCTGGAGGTCAGGCTCGCTGACTTGGTTGATGTATGTCATCGTTTCTGAATTGCGTAGATCGATGCTCATGATGTCAATCACAGGATTGTCTTGTCAAGAAATAATTACTTTTACACACCAGTCATATAGCTGGTATCTTGCAAACAAACAAACAAACAAACAAACAAATGTTCATAACGTTGGAGGAAAGCCCAAAGTGATGCAGGTCGTACAAGTTAACCGCACTGATGCACCATGGGTACTGTATTCACAAATCAAGGATAATAAATGGAGCGAATTCGAACTTACGATCATAAGAGTGAGTGAGTGAGTGAGTGAGTTGTGTTTAACGCCGCTTTTAACAGTCAGTATTCCAGTTATATCCCGGCGTGTGAGCTTAATGTGGGAGGAAAGCCCCAAGTGATGCTGGCCTCTGACGTTTACCACTTTGGTGAAACCCACGGGCACAGGTATGGGGCTGACAAACCTAGAAACATAATTGGGGCGAACCGGAATTCGAACCCACAACCGTAGGTTTCTGGCGTGCCCAAGGGACGCAACTCTGCACAACGAATCGCGGCGCCTTAGACGACAGGGCCACTCGTGCCGCCTACGATCATAAGACCGTATAAGGGAAGCACGTATACACAGCAAATTGCGACGTTAAAGACAACTGGATATGAATAGGCGAGGTACCCAATATTGAACGTAATTACAAATATAAACCACGGTACGACCTAACATGGCATGACCTCGAACAGGCGGTATGGCTAACGTATTCGTCAAGCTAAGATTTATAGCTTTGAAACATTTGTTATCGACAGAAGTGGACATTAAAGTAATAAATAGCATAAATTGCTCGTCAATCGAAACTCAATGCAATTATTTTCATATTATTATCATGGGTGGCCCTGTCGTATAAGGCTCCACCATTCGCTGTGCTGAGTTGTGTCCCTTGGGCACGCCAGAAACATATGATCGGTTCGAATCCCAGTTCGCCCTGATTATGCTTCTAGGTTTGCCAGCACCATAATTGTGCTCTTGGGATTCACCGAAGTGGTAAACGTCTCTGACTTTCATCACGGGATTTCTTTCCACATTAAGCTGACACGCCGTGATATAATTGAAGTGTTGCCAGAAACCTATGATTGTGGGTTCCAATCCCGGTTCGCCCCGATTATGTTTCTAGGTTTGTCAGTACCATACCCGTGCTCGTGGGTTTCACCAAAGTGGTAAACGTCTGAGACCTGCATCACTTCGGGCTTTCCTCCCACATTAAGCTGACACGCCGTGATGTGACTGGAATACTGTTAAAAGCGGCGTAAAACCCAACTCACTCACTCACACTAGTCACGGAGAGAGTAACGTCCGAACATATGGGTTCCAGGATAAAAACCGGAAGTGTTAAATGTAAAACTTGCAATACGCAACCAATCTACTTTTTGAAAACACTGATCTATATCGTTTTCAGATCCAGCATTGCTAAGACATGGGACACGAGACCCTAACAACCAATGACGTCAGGATTCTGAAGAAGGAAGTTAAGTAACCACGCCCCTTCCAAGACAGCGCTAATCACATGCTCGGACACAATGTGGTATCCATAATGCAAGTGGCATTGTTGTTTTGACAGACTATTTAATAACATTACTCATGAGAGCTGAGTTACCTCTCATGTGACGCTCATTAGTTCACCAAGGAATTGATTGTCCTGCAATCAGGGCGCCTGGACCAGTCTCGCTAGCCTGGAGATAAATATCAAGTCGATATCCTTTCCATTAGACTCGAAATTAGAGAAGGTGTTTACACCTAAACAATGCTATTTGTAGCAATGTGTAGACAGTTTTGAGTTATTTTGTCACAGTATTCAATCAACAAATATATTTCTCAACTACACGGTTGCACACGAGAACTTCACTGCTACAGAAACAGCATGTCTGAATTGACATCCTGGCAACCGTTTCTCGTTATATCTCGTAATGTCTCTTTTTCGATGGGTTATATCATCTTTCTGACAAAACTCCTAAATCAAGCGCATTACACCTTAAAACGCTAGTAGCATTAAACTTGACTATTCAGAGAGGTGCCATATATCGTCTGCGACGGCGAGCGTGCTACCTCTATCAGTTTTGGTTAAAGAAAGTATTCGCTATGGAATATTGGCATGCCGGCACGTCTTTACGGTTATACAAAGTGAGAGAGTCCTATTCATGTGTCAACTACTTTCTCGAACAAGTAATGGACAGTGAGATCGAAGGTTTGACTGACAGTTATCTAACCTCTTCCAAAATGAAGAGCGCTGAGATACCCCATGTGCTTGGGTAATGAGCACCATTATGCTGAAACTGCCTTATGCCGGAAATTGTGGAACGTTGATTGCGATTGATCCTTGGGGAATCTGTTCCCCATTGTCAGAATAACGAGGCCAATCATTCAAGTGGCTGAGAATTATCAATATCATATCAGGTTTTCTGAATCGGACGAACACAATATAACCTGAAATCTATTTGATGACGTCTATTGGAGCCCCATGACATGTGTCTACCTGCACTGTGACATTTCCGGAACATTTTATGATAAGGGCTGATCTTGCACACCATTTGAAACCAAGCAGACACGCCAGCGACAATGACCACGACAGCTGACGCCACGATCACATCAGCACCGACCGAAGACTACACCCAGTATCCCGAATACAAGGCTAGTAGACTGGTGTGGTCCATCTTCCCACCCATTCTAATATTCTTCGGCACAATCGGTAACATGATGTCCATTGTAGTCCTCAACAGGAAGCCCATGCGAGAGTCAACGGTGTCCATCTACCTCACTGCCTTGTCTGTTATGGATATGTTGGTCCTCTATACTGGTCTGATGCGGCAATGGCTGCGTGTGGTCATCGAACTGGACGTCCGGGTCATCAGCGAGATGTCCTGCAAGATCCACATCTGGTTGGTGTACTTCACCCTCGACATGTCAGTCTGGCTTCTCGTCTCAGTCACCATCGAGAGATGTGTGTCTGTGATGTTTCCATACACAGTGAAACAATACTATACACGATGTACAGCACTGGTCAACATTGCAGTCATTGCTGTGTTGTTGTTGGCGCTCAACTCGCACTACTTGTACGGTCTTGGTGATGTGCAGACGACGACAGATGGCGAAAGAACCATCGAGCGCTGTGTATCACTTTGGAATGGTTACGAACAATTCGAGTTTCAGGTCTGGCCATGGATTGACCTGTGCGTGTTTTCTCTTATACCACTGATCGTCCTCATCATTGCAAACATCTCCATCATCCAAAAAATTCTGACCAGGAGAAGGAATGCTCGGCGAATAAATCCCGTGGTTTCGACAATAACATCAGAACAAAAGCGGTATCAAGACAAGAAGACGTCCTCCATGACGATAATGCTTCTGGTTCTGAACTTAGTATTCTTCGTGTGTACCACGCCCATCAGCGTGTATCTCATTGGGGAACCCTACTGGTTGGACGATCTTACACCACGCCAAGAAGCAGTTTTGTCCCTTGTTTGGGCAATCGCAAACATGCTTCAGTATACGAACAATTCAATTAACTTTCTATTATATTGCATCAGTGGTTCTCGCTTCAGGAACACATTAAAGGATCTGTTTCAGCGTCGAAATAGAGTCCGTCCTAGCAATTCCATGACAATGCTGCGGAACAGTCAAAGAGAGGCTGGCGCAAGCGGCAACGGGGGCGGAGGCAACATGTGCAATGGTGGTAACGAAAATGGAACCAGTCCAAATACTCTTCATGTATGAAGACACGAAAAACTATACGAAAAGTAATGAAACTATATATAGTGGTATTACGATTGTTTTAACAAGGGACATGGAAATGCCATTTAACCATGCCTCTACAAACATGCCGTTTATAGATAACCTCGTTATAACGTCAAAAACATATTTTCTCTTCCTTAAACTTTGGCAACCACTGAATATTTCTAGGCCTTGTCCGAAATACTTTCACCAGTATTCTATTTCTAGAAGTACTCTCGTAACGGGTTCGTTCGAAAACTCATCCTGTCCAGTGCCAAGGCACACACATACAACTTCGAACAGCGGTAGACTGAAAATAAATAAAAAAGGCATCGAGTATGTTTTTTCGCGGCATTTAGCAATATTCCAGCAAAATCACAGCGAGGCACCCAAGAAATGGGCTTCAGACAAAGTACCAATGTGGGGAATCGAAGCCGGACCTTCGGCGTGACTAACGAACACGTCAACCACTAGGCTACCCCACCAGCCACTGAAATAAGAGGGGAAAACAATATGTTGTTAGTCTAATGTTATTGTATGGGTCTGTGAACAAGAGATAGTATAATACGGTCTGTATTATCATATTGAATAATATATTTATCATTATGTTTATAACGTCCAAACTAGTCTGGTGAAACAATGGCGTTATTGCGAGGTAAAATGAAGTTATTCAAAACATGATATATTCCCGTCTTGTTTCAATATTAGGTTTAAATTATTATTGTCAGTATGTCTTATATACGTCAACAACGAAATCAGGTCATAGCGAACACTTTATTATCAAATCTAGAAATATTATATTTTCCTATTGAATTATTTTGAAAACCGTTGAAACTGTTCAGTGATATTATATGGAATGTACTGTGTTGACTTATAACTCTCTATTATCGGTATAAGTTGTATTAATGACCGCTTCTTTGTTATATCAAATGTTTTGAATTTTTGAATGTATTTCGCCAGCAATGTGTTTGGATTATCTATGTATATTTAACTCTTAATACCTTATATTACACTTATAACACTTTATTATCAAATCTAGAAATATTATATTTTCCTATTGAATTATTTTAAAAACCGTTGAAACTGTTCAGTGATATTATATGGAATGTACTGTGTTGATTAATAACTCTCTATTATCGGTATAAGTTGTAATAATGACCGCTTCTTTGTTGTGTCAAATGTTTTGCATTTTTTAATTGTATTTCGCCAGCAACGTGTTTGGATTATCTATGTAAATTTAACTCTTAATACCTTATATTATACTTATAACACTTTATTATCAAATCTAGAAATATTATATTTTCCTATTGAATTATTTTAAAAACCGTTGAAACTGTTCAGTGATATTATATGGAATGTACTGTGTTGACTAATAACTCTCTATTATCGGTATAAGTTGTATTAATGACCGCTTCTTTGTTGTGTCAAATGTTTGCATTTTTGAATGTATTTCGCCAGCAATGTGTTTGGATTATCTATGTATATTTAACTCTTAATACCTTATATTAGGTTTGCAGATCAAACAAGCAATAATTTTCATGTGATGTTAGATGCGATACTTTTGACATCAACCATCCAAAGTTAATAATTATAAAGGAAATTGTAACTTTTTATATCCCTTTTTCGTCAATCAAGGCTGGCCGGTATGAGGCTAAAGACAATCATGTCCCGGTGGATCATGGTATATCGGGAGTGCACGTGCACCGTTAGAATGCCAAGTCTGAAACTACTTGCATAATTCTATGAACTATCATCGATTGATCGCGTATCGCTGTTATGTGATGAATCAACAAAATGATAGAACCACGCACTTCACCTTATAATGAATGCATTCATTCATAGTTCGGAAGCTGCAACATTTTGATTGTAGTGATCCATTTTGTCTCGTGTTCATGTTGTGTCTATGTAAACCCTTAAGGTGTGCATTAAGGTAAACTGTTGTGTATTGTGATGTGTGGCACAACAGCAATGATCGGTTTGATCATGTTTAAATATATCAAAACGTCCACGTCAGAAAATAATCAGGCTCGAATATTTGCCCATACATTTTCCATGGGGCGCAAAAGTTAACGTAATATGAAGGAATCACTAAACAACCAGTGACGACGCCAGGTGTTCGGCAAACATGTGTATGTTCATTAATATGCAGTGATGATGTATGTTACGTAGAAACCTTTTCTTTACCCTTTTATGACCATTCTGACAAAAAAGTATATTTTAATGTGGCCTTAAAGAACATATGAATTGTTCATGAACTATACAAACAATGTGTATTCCATAAAAAGAACACAAATAAATGTTTGCTTGTCTGTTATGGATATTTTGGTCCTCTATACTGGTCTGATGCGGCAATGGCTGCGTGTGGTCATCGAACTGGACGTCCGGGTCATCAGCGAGATGTCCTGCAAGATCCACATCTGGTTGGTGTACTTCACCCTCGACATGTCAGTCTGGCTTCTCGTCTCAGTCACCATCGAGAGATGTGTGTCTGTGATGTTTCCATACACAGTGAAACAATACTATACACGATGTACAGCACTGGTCAACATTGCAGTCATTGCTGTGTTGTTGTTGGCGCTCAACTCGCACTACTTGTACGGTCTTGGTGATGTGCAGACGACGACAGATGGCGAAAGAACCATCGAGCGCTGTGTATCACTTTGGAATGGTTACGAACAATTCGAGTTTAATGTCTGGCCATGGATTGACCTGTGCGTGTTTTCTCTTATACCACTGATCGTCCTCATCATTGCAAACATCTCCATCATGGAGCACATTATGTATTATTGCTTTCAACAACATAACCGGCAGCAGTGCAACACGTACAGTAGACTACGGTTAAAACGAACACGCTTATAACGAACTGACGGATATAACGAACTTACGTTTTGGTCCCCATTATTTGCTGTAGTTATGCTGTATATATGCTTATAACGAACTACGGTTATAACGAACTAAAATTGGTAGTCCCTTTGAGTTCGTTGTAACCGTAGTTTACTGTATTTAAATATGTAAACTTGATCAGCGGCAAATATAATCGCTAAATCGCCCGGACTGAAACACGTATAACAACACCCACGTCAAACTATAGCTCGGTTTGACATAATTACCAATCCTACTCCATTGATTCTGTCTCTCATTTCACCGACCTTGTCCTCGCAAAACTATTAATCAATACTTGGGTCAATGGAGAGGTACTTTATCCCATATGTAAATTCGCCTATGGTCATGTTGGAAAACGGTCACAGAGCTTGACAGATAACAGTGAATTGAGGACACGACGTGCGTATACCCCGGCGTACAGAAGGGTTAGGACGGTGTGAAAAGCTTGTCTGTGGTTAGCAGAATAGTGGTAACATCTGCAGGACTGTTCTGCGAGTCGGGTGTGGCTTGTTAGTCTTCAACCAACAAACATGCGCTCGAGAAGCCTCAATAAATACCTTCTCCTCTGGACACAGTTCACATGTTTTACATGGAATATAACATATGGTAATTATGTAAGACATTGTTTTGTTTAGTTGTTTGTTGTTTAACGCCGAACTCAGTAATATTCCAGCTATATAACGGCGGTCTGTAAGTAATCGAGTCTGGACCAGACAATCCAGTGATTGACATCAGGAGCATCGATCCACGCAATTGGGATCGATGACATGCATCAACCAAGTCAGCGAGCCTGACCACCCGATCCCCTTAGTCGCCTCTTACGGCAAGCATAGTCTCCTTTTACGGCAAGCATCGATGGCTGAAGACCTATTCCACCCCGCTCTACCTTTGACATCACGCCGAGGAGAAACTGACCACTGAGGCACTGCTGATGACAGCACAGGTTCGCTTGTTCTTCTGTATTCCTGCACACTTTCACTTCTGTGTCCAGTTATTTCAGACAATCTGCTCTTCAAAGCCCGCCTCGTAGCGGGTTGCTGCCGATGGTTACTGAGAAAGCCTGTCAAGCCAGCCTCCTCGCATCGTCTCCGCACCGTCCCACGAAGCGTGTGCATTTCCACATCTGCTGTTGCATACCATACAGTTGCACTCGGTTTCTGCAATGGCCGCAGATAGGATGCGTTGGCAGGCTTCGTATCAGGGCTGAAACAAATACATAATAGACTTTAAGGTCTTATACATAATCTTAACTGGCATGTCATGTTTGGTAGCAGTGATTACGTTGCACCTTTAATTATCAATGACAATCAGTCAAGGTTACCAAATATTGACAAGTTTTAATTTTCGGATTAGTCTGTGATAGATGATTAGAATTCGTACCTTATATATTAGTGTTGATACTCTGACTGCGACATTTACCAGTGAGCAGCGTACAACTTGTAAGCCGTTTGTAGGCATATTTCTTTATTGATTGAATTTGGAAAAGAATACACATTCTTCTGTTTAATTGCCTTAATTTTCAGGCCACCTTGATTTGATTTTGAAACGTCTTCCTTGTAACGAGGAACCTCAGTATTTTCTGTGGTGACAGACCCGTGAAGATTCCGGGGTAGAATAGGTCTTCAGTAACCCATGCTTGCCGTACCATGGGAAAGAATAGGAGCTATTTTTGTGTAAAACATTTTTTAAGAAAGATTTATAAGCACAGTCGCTTAAATGTCCAAACGTTTGTAAAATTCCCAATAACATCTTGTTAGCTTGGATAGCTGCATTTATACGCTGCGGTTCCATGATACTTTACTTGAAAATAATACACCAAGATATGTATATGAGGTTTCCACGTATCACAGTGCAATTTTAGCTGATTTATCAAAGTTTGTAAACCTTTTACAGTAGTAATTGGAATACTGTGGAACGACAGTCTTTGTTGGTGCACTTCCAAGAGATCCAGTCATTCCTCTTCCTTTTTCCAACTCGGTAGGTGTAGCCACCAGTACAAAGGTATCTACTGCCGCGTGTAGTTGGAAGAAACGTGTACTGTAACTGCGCGTTTGCCATATCGAGAATGATGACAGACTACTTACTTACTTACTTACTTTGGAGATTTAACGTGCGCTTTCCGACTGATGCGTATTTCGCACACGGGCCCGGCCAGGCAATTTAATGTGTTTCCGAAAGGGGCGAAAGTGGTCTGTGCAACCCAAGAATGGGGTTTTAGGGGTTGCTTATATAGAATTGGGGAATTTTGAGATTTGGAATAGATGCCGATGGGATTGGGGAGGAGAACTAAGGGAGCTGGGTATGGTGGATGTTTGTTTGTTTATGTGATTTTGATTTGGTAGGTTATTGTGTTTTTAGATGCGTTTTATTAGTTCCGTTTTTATTAAGAATACGCCTAAGGCCTTGAAGTTTTCTAGTTTGTTTTGTGGGTTTAGTATTGCTTCTAGAGTTAGAGCCTTGTTTAGATTGAGGGTGGTTTGTAATGCGGTTCGATGTGTTAGGTAGTGTGTGCAGAGGATGAGTGCTGTTCTGGGGTTTCTGGTTGTTTGCAGTGTGGGCAGTTACCTGTAGTGTGTTTTTTAAAATTTTTTAGGTGGTTATTTAGGTTGGTGTGTCCTGTTTGGAGTTTAGTGATTACTCTGTCGATTTTTTAGGATGGATGGAGAATTTTTGGTTTGGTTAGTGGTTTGCTGAGCACTTTTTTGATGTGGCTATTTGAGTTTAGATATAGGTTATGCCATTTTTTGTGTGATTTTTTGCTTGTTTACACTTTTAATTTCTGATTTTGAGATGGGTAAGTTTAAGCTTATTTCTGGGATTTTGAGGGATAGTTTAGCTGCTTTATCGGCGTTTTCATTACCGTATATTCCTACGTGGGCGGGTATCCACAAGAAGGTTATTTGTTTGCCTGCCTTAGTTAGGTCGTTGGAGCTTTTAAGTATTTGATTTATTAATTTAGGTCGGTTTTGGGTATTTTTGTTTTGGAGGGCTTGCAGTCCACTCAGGGAGTCGGTAAGTATTAGGATTTTTTTTGGTGTTTTTTGGATTCTTGATTATGGAGGGCTGAGGCCATGCCCATTAGTTCTGCCGTGAATATTGATTGGTTGTTTGGGAGTCGGAAGGATTGTGTGGTTTTAGTTGGTTGTGTGTTATGGACTCCGAAACCTGTGTGTTTGGAGGTCGGATCTGAGGATCCGTCCGTGTAAATGTGACACCAATTTGGCCAATTTTCGTGTATGTATGCTAGTGTGGTAGTTTTAGCTATGTTTGGGTCGGTTTGTTTATTTATTTGGCTAGCTAGTGTTGTGTCTATTTTGGGTATTTTAAGTTTAGGGGTGAAGATATTTGATTGCTTGCAGTTTTGTTTAAGATTTTTAATTTGGTGTTCATTTAGGTAGTTTGTTATTCTTTGGGATATTGTCTTAAATAATATTTCCAAATGTGTGTGTGTGTGTGTGTGTGTGTGTGTGTGTGTGTGTGTGTGTGTGTGTGTGGTATCTTGGTTGTGGTTCAGGCAAATTTGACATAAAATCGTACACTTACACTTACCCAGTCAGTGCCGAGGAGATGCAGAGCCGTGATTGGTTGGGGTCGTCACACGAGATACTGAGTTCAGCGCAGCCTTGTGGCCTTATGTGACATGACCATGAAGAGTTTTCAATACCTTTGTACAACGGCAACATGTGAATATCGAGCTCTTTTTTTCTAAGAGTGTATATCATGACGACCACCAAACATATTGTCTTACGTGATTACTCAACTTTACCCATGTTCTACCCAGACGTTTCTCTGTACCATTTTGTGAATAAAATAATAAATCTATTTGCGATGTGATTTACGCAACAGTCGATTCCTAAATTAAACTAGGGCTGCGACGCATCGAAAAACAACATCGCAGTCTCAAATTGCGATGTTGCAACGGGACAGTGGGATTCGAACACAATTCCTCGGTACCCATGCCCGTTCGAGTAATATAACACAGCGTAACGTATCCAAGTGAGTGAGTGAGCGATTTTGTTTTTACGCCGCTTTTAGCAATATTCCAGCAATATTACGGCGGGGGACACCAGAAATGGGCTTCACACAATGTACCCATGTCGGGAATCGAGCCCGGGTTTTCGGCATGACGAGCAAACGCTCTAACCATCAGGCTACCCGACGGCCCCCGTAACGCATCCAAACCTTATGGAGGAACCTTCGGGCGGTTTAAAGAACAAGGGATCTAATCAGTGAAATATTCCCCGGTCCACCTTGGGTGATACAGCCTTTGTTCACGAATTATCAGCTTGGTCCAATATTGATGTGTCGGTTGATTGTCACATGATACCCATTAACGGAAAAAGCAGTCCCCCGCCATACAATTCCCCGGGGAG